AATATATAATTTATTTTATTTATTCAATTTATTCAATATTATGAAATTTATTCTATTTGTTTATTTATTTACTTCTTTATAATATCTATTTATTTGATTAAATTTATCATGTTTCTTTTTGCTTTTTTAATATATTTTAATTTATGAAATATTTATTTTCTTATTTTTATTTATTTCTTTTTTATAATTATTTTGTATGGTACAATTTATTATTAGTATGTTAATTTGTATATTGTATATTATTATTTCTTCATTCATTTGGTTATTTATCATTTATTTATATTTTGTTTTATACCATATTCTGTTTGTAGAAAATATAATTCTTTAATTCTTTGACTATTTCATATCTAATCATTTATTCACGTTTCTCGTGTTTATAACTTATTATTCTCTCTAATATTTAAAATCACATTATTTTTATTATAATTTATTATAATTATTTATTTTTAATCAATCTAAAAGAATGAAATTAGTATATATTAATTCATTTGTGTAAATATTAAAATGGAGATTATATTTTGATTCATAACAACATAAGAATGTATAAATTTTTCATTTGAAATAAAGATAATAAATGAAAAGAAATAGAAAATAAAAATAAAAAGAATGAATAATAAATAATAAATAATAAAGAAGAAATAGAATATGATTAAAAGAATAATAGAAGAATAATATAAATGATAAGAAAATAGAAGAAAATAAGACATAATGATAATAAACAAGAATTAGATATAATAAAAGAAATTAAACGATATAAAGAAGAATATAAATAACAGAAATATGTCAGAAGAAGAAAAAATATTAATAATTTGTGATTTTCTACGTAGAAAATCACAAATTATTAATATTTCAAATTGAAATGATTATGAATGTTCTAAAAATAGAACACAGCATCGTTCACATGGAAGTGTGATGACGTGGCAACTATAAATAGAAATAGAACGTGACGCGGCAACACGTCAGAAATATTTATAGAAATAGAATTGACTCATCAACACGTGATCAATTAAAAATAGAATAACGTTATGAATAACAAAAAAATCTTAAAAGTCAGAATGAAAAACTAAAAATGAACTGACCGAAAGGTCAGATGACTCACTGACCGAAACTATAGTAAAATTATAGTAAAAAGTATTAAAAATATAATAAAAATATATAGTCATATATAATATATATATATATATGTTTGGATTTATAAATAGAACAAGAATGATAATGAAACGGATATCGAGAGAAGTGATATAAATACCATAAAATTATGGGAATAAAAAAGAAACACTAAAAATGTTAGTATAATGAATAACAATTAAAAATTAAAACGATAAATAAAATAACAACGTATGGAGTATAACATAAAAGTCAGCGCAACTGAAATATTAGATCACTGACCCAGTTTATATAGAAATGCTTATGTGGCAAGGTCGAAAATAACGTTCAAAATTTTCAAACGGTGAGGAATTAGGGTGAAAGAAAGGTGCAGAAATAAGAAGAAAAATGCAACAAAGAAGCGCGAAGAAGTCGAATAAACATACAAAAGTCAACAAAAAAGTCAAGAGAATGATAAACATCATACCAATGAAGAATAGAAACGAGAATCGAGAAAAAAAAATGCAATATAGAAGCGCGAAGAAGCCGAGAAACACAAAACAACCAATAAACAACAAGAGAAGGTGAGGTATTACGACAGTAACGAGGAATTAAAATGACGACAAAATTAAATTATAGAATAAATAATTATATAATATAATATTAAAAATAATACGTAATCATTACACAAAACACGTAATAATAATAATAAAAAGAACTAATAAATATATAAATATATATATATAAATTAACAACATAAACGATGAATGTTAATAATTCTGAATGCATCAACAAATATAAAACATTCGCTTACAATAAAAAACATGTATTTATAAGTGGTAGTATTAGCACGGGTAAAACAATGTTATGCAATTTATTATTTGAATATCTCGACTATTATACTCCCGCTGCATATATAAAAGAATACATTGATTACAACACCGATGGAGAATTTAAATTAAAACTTTTACACGATGGTTTAATAAGTAATTTTGAATTTCAGAATTATATATTAGATTGTTATGAAACTCAACTAAATTCAAGTATTTATGAAGATGCTGATATTGTAATATGGGATAGACATCCCATCGAATCATTGGAAGTATTTTGCGCAACCAATAATTCAATAAGTAATGAACAACGTCTAAAGCTCAGATTAAGAATAGAACAATTAAGTAGAAGATATCAGATTCCTCAATTAACTAATAAGAATGTTGGTGTAATTAACGTAGATACGAGTAGAATTTCTACAGAAGTAATTGAAGAAGCATTGGTTAATACATTTATTCATCCATTATTATTAGGATTATCAAATGGAAGTATTTATGTCTTCTTATTCTGTAGTGATACAAATACACAATTCAAACGATTAACAAAAAGAAATAGAACACCGGAAATAGAATCATACAAATCAAAAGAAGATTTATATATCTTAAATAATCAATATGCGTTATTTTATACTGAATTGGTACAACAAAAGCTAAATCAAATTAATTAACTGGTTATTCTCATTTAACGTTTATATCATGGTAGAAACAGAAAACGAGTCAGTAAATAAAATTGAAAATAGAAAACCCCAATTATTGTTAAGATTATGTTATTCTCTAATAGTAGCAATTTTATTATTTGTGGTACTCATAGGAATCATTGCAGCCGAATTAATAATTAAAATATTAACATGATTAAACAAGAAATAATTAATTATTTTTTTTTTGGTTTACTTAATTCTTTTCGTGCTAATTCTCTATCATCACGACACCGTTTAAATGCATTAATAACAGTTTTATATTTTTGTAACATTTCACGTGCACTGCTAGCAATATCTTTAACCAAGAAAACTTCACTTTCAATAAGATTTAAATATTTATCACTTCCAAGAGTAGTTCTTTGTTCTTTTTCATAATAATCAACCATGGTAGAACATAAATCATGTAAATCATCAAGATCCAAATAGAAATCGCGCAAAGCACCGACAGTTAAATCAGATAAAGAACAATATTCCATCTTATCATCAACAGTTGAAGACATCAATTATATTATATAATTATTGTTTTATTTTCAGTTTACTTAAATATAGAACAAAACAGACAACAAACACCTTAAAACGTCATAAACAGACACAAACAGGCATAACTCAACGCGAACAGACAATACACGTCACCAAACAGACAAAACTATTACTGAACAACACGTATTCAAACGTATTTAAAGCACTGAAAAATTAACAATATTATCAACATTATGAACTCCTCAACTTATGTTAAAAGCGTTTTAAAAGAATTAGCTGCCGAAATATCAATCACCATCAAATACTTAGCGTCGACCAATTTATCACCAGAAGGAGATAGTCTAATTCACGCTGTCGCCATTTGGATAAGACGCGTTTCGTTTATCAACGAATTTAATTACAATGACACATTGCTCAATTACTTAGATTATTTAATAGAAGATGCTCACGTATTAATAATAGATAATGAAAAACTTTTAGGACTTCTAGATCAATTCAGATTTTTCTATACCAGAGAATATGCTATACACTTTAAGTGATTAATTTTTATTATTTTTTTTTTTACTAATTATCAATTAAAGATTTATTTGGTATTCGTATTTTTTTTTATTAACTTATGTAACCCTCCTTCGTCGGGTTTATTTAACTTAATCAAACACTGATATTATTATCCAATTATATATTATTAAACAATTAAAATAAAAGAATAAAAAGTTATTAATTATCTTTAGTCTCGGCTTTCTTAGGTTTCTTCTCTTCATCTTTAGACTTTAATGGTTTGAGTAAAGCTCGTTTAGATTTTTGCTCACTTATTTCTTCAACAACATCCACATTATCATCATCAACAACCATTTCAATTTTCCGCGAATATTTTCTCACCCAATCAGGAATTGCAGATTGTTCAACGCTTTTAAGTCCTTTCTTCTTAGCAAATTTCCTGTTCCAAGCATTAAAGCTATTTAATCCGATACCACTTTCATCGAGAAATAGTGAAATTCTTTCACAGCGTCTTATACTCTCAAGCTTTTGTCTAATCAAATCTTGCCGTTCCTCGTCAGTTTTTACTTTTTCGCTATTATTCAATTTCCAGTCTATGTACGAAGGTTCTTTCATAAGATAGAAGTATCTCTTTAATAATCCATTGACACCCGGCTCAATCTGAGATTCAGTATAAACGTCTACTAAATCCATTGAGGCAACGTCAGTATAAATATCATCATGCACCCTATTAAAAGAAGACATCGAATAATTTCTTTCAAAGTTCTGACGATTAAATAGTTCAACTCCATTCAATGACATCAACGACAACTCAGTGACACGCATTCAAAACCTCAAAAGTTACTATAAATACACACACAATAACATCAATTCAAACATGTCAACAAATACATTTAATTCGGAACCATCCAAAACAGATAAATTACATTTAAAAGAAGCTCTCTCTCATAATAAAGCTGTCCATTTTACTTCTAGATACATGTATTTAACTCTTTGGGGAGATGAAATATCAAACCAGACACAATTTAAAGAATTAATAGACCGATTTGCCGGACCAACTAATAACCTACAATACGCACATATTTCTCCAGTGGAACAAGACGAGGTCAATCCTCATCCCCATCAACATGTTATAATTGTAACCAGAAGGCCTCGTTCATTCAAAGCTCGCCCAATTATTAAACATTCAGACGGAACACAACAAACGTTCTGGTATTCGCGCGTTAATTCATATACATCAAGGACGGGCGACATTTCTAAGATTATAGAATACATTACAAAGAGGGGTAAAGGAATGTTCAAAGGAGACCCAACGCTTAAAGAAGATCTTAAACAAACGTGGATAAATGCTTTATCCGATTTAGATTCATACCAAGATTACGGAGAATTAGAAAAGAATTTGTTGGATATTAACGCAGAAAAATATATCCAACAAGAAGGTAAAATTAAATCACGTTGGATGCGTAAAAATGCGAGAAGACTCGATATTGAAAATTATACTAGAAACGATTTATTACCTTGGAGAGAAGAAATGGAGGAAGTTCAAACAATACGTAAATGGATTAAATGCGCTCAAGGCGATCGTTATAGAATGGGAAATTTATTCATCGTTGGACCAACTAAAACCGGTAAAACGGAATTTGCCATTCAAGAAATATTCTTAAAATTTAATACATTTATGTTAAGAGGAGATTCTCTCTTCGACGCTTATGACGAAGAACAAAATTATAGATTTATACTATTTGATGACATCAACTATGATAAGAATTTAATAAGATTAATAAAAGCTATTACATCCACTATCAATAAGAAAACAATGGTAAATATAAAATATTCCAAAGCTATTGTAACCGCCCGTCCTTGTATCCATTTATTAAATCAGAAAGAATATGAAAGTGTAGTAAGTTTAATGAAGTATAACGGTGGTTATAATTGGTGGAAGAGAAATTCATTGACGGTATTTATAAATAAAAAACTTTATAAAGATCCAGAAGAATCTGAAAATGATTCAGAAGACATGGAAAAACAAGAAGAAAATTACAACGCAATGAACGACTTAGAAGAAAAATTTAATGAAATTAAAGATATGCCAGAAAGTCAAACAACAGAAGAAACCAGTCCCACCGAACATCAAACATTCTACAATAGAGTAACAAACTTATTAGAAACGCTGGGCTATGACAATACTTTCTTAGAAGAATTTAATGAAAAGATTAAAGAATCGAGAAAGGACAAGAAGATGAAAAGAATACTAGATGAATCTCAGGAGAATAATGACAGCATGATTGAAGAATGGAACGAAGACCTTGAATCGTATCAATTAGATAATCCATTAGGTATGTCAAAAGACGATTTTAATCGCTTTGAAAGAGATACAATGACAACTTATGAAAAGCAGAGAAGTAAATATTTTAACAACACTCCCAACGACAATACTATGGAAGAAGAAGACTATGATGTTGATGACGATGATGATGTTGATGATTATTCAGACGGACCATTAGAACGCGCACCTCTTGGAGGGAAAAATGATGATATGGACATAATTTACGATTAAGAAAGAATTAAATTAATTTATTTCTTTTTATCTTTTACCATTGAAATTTTTGTTATTTTTCTTGGTTTCACCGTTTTATCTTTCTTCATTGCATCTTCCCATGCATGTTTGTTAATACGTTCCATAGTACGTTTTAGTATTAAATTGTTTCTTTTTGATGCACTCACACGCTTTTCATATTGTCCGATTTCATCTGCCTCAATCATGTTATACACACCTCTCGGAATAGATTCAGTAATATGTCCATTAATATCAACAACTTCTCTTTCATTTTCCGGATTATCATAATATTTCTTTACTCGTTCTTTTATTCTTCCTCTAGCTTCTTTGTACCACTTCTCATAATCATATTCATTATAAGATGAACGCATCAAATCATTTGTCTTCTGTCTATAATCCGAAGCAACGGGAATAGCATCATATTTAGGTTCAATTTTATGTCTACCTATTATTTCATATCCGTAATTTCTTTCTCTCGGTGTAACTGTTCCATCTCCACGTTTGTCAAATCCAGAATTTGAATCAGAAGAAATATCATCTCTTAACATTCTTTTTCTGGGTTGTATTACACTCTCAGAAACATAAGAATCTGCACCACCACGTACAGCAAAACTCTGAGCATATTCAACAAAATCATTGATATTTATACCATTTCGTTCAGCTAATTTATTTGCAATAATCTTAGCACCTGCATTTCTATTATCATTCCAAGAACCTCGCAATTTATCAAAATCGTGAGAAGCGACATCCAATTTATAACGAATTTCATCAACATTAGACTTATCATCCATAATACCACTCAAAACCATCATCATACTTTCATGGAAATTTTGCATATCATTAACAGGAACAACATATTCAGCATTAAAAGACCGAGCAATATTTTCAAATTGTTTCATAATCGCATTAACATTACTTATTACATCTTTATATTGCGCGCCTCGAACTTCATTATCTTTTATATACTTATTAACATCTTTAAAACGAGAAATTAATAATTGGCGTGTATTTTCAAATGCCTTTTTACTCTGTCTCATATCCGGATCATCACTATAAAATTGTTCTTCTCCTGCATTTATTATTTGTCCCTTCTTTTTATATGAATTCATATCATTTTGTATACTATTCACCAAACTTATTACACGAGTAATTTCTTCTGTTTTACCACTACCAATTTTATGTATTGATGAATTAAGAGCTTTCACTTCACTCTCAAGTATTCTCATTCTTCTAGTGAAATTAGCGGGTTCTCTTTCTTCCAATAAATCTTTAAGTAAATCATTTAATGGTATTTTCATATGTTCAGGTAATCTATTAACAACATCAAAAACATTTTTCCATTCTTCTGATTTCTTTTCTAATTTATCAAGACGTTCTGTATATAAATTAACCTTATCTGTAACAGCATCAAGTCGTTTCAATGAAAATCGGTTCT